ATTCATCTTCCTCCTCTTAAAATTGCTCTTTCTCAGAAGTACAATAAATTGTTACTACGTAAGCATGCATTCCTCGCTTTATAACTCTTTACAGTTATTTTATGTAAATATTTTAATGATTTAATGAAGAAAATAATTTTGATGAAGAAACACATTTAGGTTAAAAGATTAAACGTAAAGGTTATTTTACTTTGAATTATGACCGAGACGTTAGAAGTAGAAATACTGTGAATCTAAAGTTTGCATATAAATATTTTTTATAAATTTTTCGGATAGATCGCACCGGTACTTGAGTCATAAATCACTTATATTAAAATTAAGGGGAAAAACGGAAAACTTAATTTCAGGTTTAATTTCTTTTTAAATATCAATACCATAAAGTTAAATAATTACTAGTCCGAAATGGGCTATTTATCTCGAAATGGGATTTTGCGTTACACACGACGCATCACTTCATAAATTGTTTCTACGAAATATTCCCTACCTGTATTATTTTGAAAGAAATTAAATAATGAAGAATCTGCATGCATATATGTATGTTACTCGCATTGTGAAACAAGGACGGTACGTAGAGCCGTCAAATTTTGAATAACGTAATCCTCCAAGCGAACATGAGCACCTCGAAACCAGAATTTTTAATTTCGAATTTGTTTTATGATTTTGTAAAGCCTTAATGAATTTTTGATTAAATCCTCAACGATCTGAAAGCAAGCAGTGACAACACTGTTCGAAATAAAATATTTTTATCTCAGCTATTTCCATTCGAAAAATGTAAAAATATTCATCTCTCAGTTTTAATTAACAAACTTGGCTCTATGAAAGCAATGTGTTCCCGTAGCAAATAAAATACATTTATCTTCTACGCGCCAGCGGGTTGCCATTCAATTAAAGATAAAGATATTTTCAAGTTTAATCCGGAAGGTTTTTGAGTAAATAACTAAGCGATTCAAAAGCAATAAACCCATTTCTTAAGAATATATTTTCTTCTTTTAAAAGTGATTGATTTAAATAAACAAGTATTAAAATCCTGAGCTCTCTAATTAGAAATACTCAAAACTTTTATGATATTACACTAGATGGACTCATTAAAATCATTATATACTTATTCATTTTATGATAACTATTTTAGGTGATTGGCCGCTCGAGCTGCTAGTTCTTAAAGAAATATTACAACAAATATAAAAATATGCATGAAAACATCTAACATCATTCTATTGAAAATTTTAAAGGTATGCTGTTTCTAAATATTCTGTGATTTGACTGTTGAATGAATTTTATGTAGCGTATGTGAGAATAATAAATAAACGTGGTATTTTAGTAAAAAAAAGTTAGCACGTTAAAAGTTAATAATAAAAAAGACAAAAACATTTTATTAGCCACTTTATTAAGAAAACTGAATACTGATATGATAAATTGAGAAGACTGAAAACAGTATAAGTATGTCTACACTTAACATTGCAACAGGAAATCTAACATACGCTGATATGTAGCTTTTATGCAATTTGTGATTTTTTTTTTTTTTTTGAACTGTATTTGGAGCAAGTGTGAAGAAAACAATGCTTAATAATAAAGCTAAAAAGACAAAAAGAAAGGGATTATCAGGAGTGGGTATAAAGCAGACTAGCAGGCTGCGAGCTCAGCGAGAGCATAAAATACCTTAACAAACCCTTTTGTGCGACTTTTAAAACTCAGACTTTCAGTTTTATTTTATGTATGTTTTTATTTTACGGTATTCATTCTTTCTTTGAAAATATCCACTTAAAAATAGGAGCCCATCTTTTCACATTTAGATAAGAACGAACTGCCATTTCGGGGACCTTTGAATCCTGTCTGGAGTAACATACGTCCAGTAGAGTTATAGACAAGTCCTTTATCTTGGGGTGATCCTCAGTAAAACTCATGGTACCCACACATAACATCTATCCTAAAAATGTTTCGAGTTAGTAAAGCTACACTTCACCCCTTAATTTCTCGAAAAAGTGTACTTTCAATAGATAACAAGTTACTTATTTATAAAACTGTATTGCGTCCCATACTATGTTATGCCTGCCCCGTTTGGGCATATTCATGCAAATCATATAGTAAAAAGTTACAGCAGGCACAAAATTGTGTCCTAAGACAGATCAGCAACTTGCCCTGGTACTTTCGAAATCAAAACCTTCATGATGAATTAGGCATTGAAGAACCGAAATATTTTTATTGCCGGCTTGCCCGGAATTTTTATGCTAACCTCGCAAGTATCAACAACTGTGTTATAAGGATCTACAATTATGATGTAAACGGCTTATGGCCATACTTAGTACTCATATTATTTAATATGAATTACTTTACCTGTACTGTACTTTATGACTTATGCTATGATTTAAGTGCACCAGTTGACTCATTTGTATTATATGTATCTTTAGGACTCGGTTTAAAGCCAGCTCTTTTCTCATTTTTCAGCTCTTCCAGATGGTATTTTCAGGTCTTTATTGGAACTCGGCGCACACTTTATTTCTACTAGAATATCTTATTTTCCCATTACTCAAAAATATGATCATAATTTATTTTTTAAAAATATTATATCTTATGTTAGTTACTCATGACAGCATTCGAAACAACCTACGTGTTCGACAAGGGGTAGGGTCCTTGACCCAGGCACGCGGGTGTTACACTGCTTCTAAGTGCAACGGAATAGAGTTATAGACTCCAGAGTATAAAATATCCTGTTCTAGTTCTTAGAGTTTCATATTTATGCGGATCCGAATTTAATCAGTTGTTAGAATAATATATTAATTATGAATATTCAATGTAACAACATAGCCAAGTAGTTTTAAAGACACGTGTAAATTCTTATTTACTTTTTATGAATAAAATACTAAGAATTTACTGAACGCAAAATATCATTTTTCATCAAAATATCATTGCATATCATGCATAACGAGCTTCTAGCTTGAAGTATTTCTTTCAGTTGAAAGAAAATATCAGAAGATATTAAATAAAGAAACTGAATCGAAGCTGGAGCATATGAAATACCTTCCTTGTGTAAAAATTAGTCGAGATTACAAGAGTGATGGAAAAAATATTTATGCTGCACAATTTTGAGATTTGCCTCAGGAGTTAAGTAGTTAGTTTGGTTTGGTTTATTTAATTAAGGCAAAGGGATGGGGCTATCTGCCTAAGGAGAGGGATGCCTTCGTGGAGGACTTCTAAGGGAAACTGGCTCGTGTACACTTGTTACACATGGGAAAAACCACGCAAACGCCCATGCAGCCAGTCTGTTCGCGGGATTCGACCCTCGGATCGAACTAGCAGTGTTCAGCGATTTTTTTACCACTCGGCCGCTGGTGGGCCGTTAAGTAGTTGACTTTATACTCTGACGTAGAGCGCACAAAAATTCAACCTTTCCATTACTTGAAATCTAAATTTAATTTTATTTCTTTAAATATTTTTCCACGTTTAACAATGAAATTATTATTTTTATTTTTTAACTCCTAATATAATAGGTTATGATTACCTTTAATGTAAAAATGCCGTTAACAAACATAAATAAATAAGTCACAAAGGAACGATTAAAAAAGTAATATGAATTCAATGCTTTCACCCTATAAAATAATAATAGAATACTGGAAATTTATTTTATCTTTTGTATCGATATATAATAATATATCGATGTATCTTTTGTATTGTATATATAATTATATATCGATACAAAAGATAAAAAAAATCATATAAATTTTCAATTATGAAAACTAAACTCTTATTTTAAAAACTTGGGTAACTGAAAATTAAAATTTACACTATTTTTAACATAATTACATTGCTAGCTTAATAGCTGTTTCAGTAAACAATGTAAAATCGGAAAAAATACTCAAAAGAGATCTTTTCTCCCTTGCATATCATACTGGGCAGCTATAAGCTTAAATTATCCGATATCCTCTTCAGATTTTGTGAAAAGGTGGTCATTCTGTCATTATTCTTTAGAAATTAGTGGTATAGTTTAGCCGTAGAATATAAATATTATGTATTAAATCGACGTAAAGAATTAAGAATTTATATTCTTTTTCAAATCAGTCGTTTCCTCTTTTAAAGATTCGTTTTCAATAGCAATTTTTTCCCTATTCTATAGTCGTTCTAATCACTTTGCTTTTGATTTTTGTCATATTTGAAAACAAAACAAAGAAAGTTGAAGTTCAAAGTTTAGTTTTAAGTTTTGAAATATTTTCCATTACAGCTAAATAACAAATACAAACAACAATATCATAGGTTTTTACACTGCTATAATCATTTGCTACATAATTTCTTTAACCAATAAGTTAGAAACAATAACTTATTATTAGCTTTATTTAACAGAGTTTATAACTTTATTTACTCGCTATTATTTCAGCACGAAGTAAAAGTAACAAATTCTGTAAACTCTGCATTACACCAATTTTATTAAATACCAGCAGTTCAGTGCAGTTGTAATAATAGTTAGTACTGCAAAAATACAGTATTATTACACTGCATACTTTAAAGCTAACGCGAAATAGTTTGATTTTGTAAATTAAAATTTTAAAATAATTTAAAGGAGTTGCAAAACACATAATGGTGTTCTAAATCGAATTATAACCTTACAATTTCGTAAATGAATTTTCATATATTTTGATGACGGAAATGCCTGATATTCTGTTCGAGATAATTAATGAAATATCCTATTATGCTCATCTAAGTTTTGAACTTTAACACACACATTGAAAATGTCAGTGAGTATTTTGTTCAGTGTAGGGAATCTGTCATTTGTTCTCACTACTAGTTATCCATTATCTGAAATGTAAGCAAATATGCTGCACCCGTCAACAGGTAGAGGGACTCAGGTAGGTGGAACTCTCTGCGCTGTTAACGGAGGTGGGAAAAATCATGCCTCTTTTAGAGAAATTGAGCACCGAACTATTTGTCGCCTCCTCTCTCCCACTCCCTCTCGTTTACTTCTGGACCTGATGGCCGAGAGCAGCAGCGATGTTCGTAAAGAAAAGACTCACCTTCCTGTAGACGATGTGATTGGGGTTGTCGTCGCAACCGGGCGTTTGCCCATTACCCGAGTCACCCTTCCTCCTGTACGCCATTCACAGGACGTGGAGCTCCGTCATTCCGGGGAATATCGGGGCTGTTCCGCAATGGGGGAGGTCGGGAACCTATGGAAGGCCGTGCAGTGCGGCGACTGACAGGACCGCGCAGTGTACGTAAGCTGCGCCCTCTAGGAGGCGACGGAGCTACTAATGAATCACCACTCAAAGAGCTTCTAATAATAATCTTTAAGCACATTAACTCGTTTATCCGAACTGAGCGGAGCCGCAATGAGTTCGGATAATCAATTTATCATATTTTTAAAATATTTCCAATTAAACCATTTATTACCGAACGTTACGTTTTTTAGCTAAACAAAATATCTATTTCCAGATACTGAATGCTTTACTTCGACATTCTAGCAAAGTAAATAGGAAAAAAAAAAAAAAAAAAACGTAATACTCAAATTTAGCAAAGTAAATAGGGGAGGGGAAATGTAATACTCATAACAAATAGCCGTATGTTTTGATCTTCATGCATTATGATCAGCAGTTAACGATTTCAAGGCTACAGTTAATGCTTTCAAGGCCATTCAAGCAGATAGAATAAAAAAAACAAGTCTGAAATAATGAAAGCGAAGATAGAGTGGAATAAGAAATAGTGGTAAGAAATCTTAAGTATTCAGCACTGGGTGCTAGAAGAACTATCGAAATATTTCAGCGAAATCGTACATTTGCACGTCAAAAATCCAGCAATGTGTATCAGAATAAGAGCTCAGTAAAGTTATTTGAATATAAAATAGCCTCAAGTGTGCGTCCAATAATGACTCGGGATTAAAACAAACATAAAAAAATCCCATGCGAAATTTCTGGGGACAAGAAGTGTCCCGAATTTACTACGAAGTAGCCTCCAGAAATCCAAACGACGTGCGGACAAGTGGTCAAGAACATTGCAAGGAGTTATACAGATTCTTAAAGATGAATAAGTCACAGTCTACACTCCTTAGGTCACATGTAATCGCATTTATTAAAAGTCCTGTGAGCGAATGACTGTACAGTGTTCTTTCGCACTCAGTGAATCATCCCTGCGCTTGTCTTTGGCCAACCACTTGAGGGTATAAGCTCAAATACCACAGGTACATGTGCATGCAGAAGTGGGGGAACACCGCACCTAACAATCGGTACAGGTACAGTCCCGCCGCCCCTCTTTCGCTACCACCAACCTGTCAAGAAGACTTTCAGCTCTCTTGCCGAATAGACATTATAGCCTTACAAACATCCATGAATTTTCTGTAATCAAAACCCAGAGGTACGGTAGTCATCATCACTAACCCCAATACTGGCTGAGTGGCTTTTGTATAAAACAGGACGCAATGCATCTTTTTTAAAACGACTTAATACTTTAATCAGATTTTCATTCTTAGTCCCATAATTTTTTCAATGTGGAGGCTACTAAATTAAATTTTAAAGACTGCTGTGTAGTGCAAATGTTGTTTACCCGAATATCTCTGTTCTTTGTAAAATCATTGTGAATTTAAATGTCTTTAGGAAAACCTCGTATAGATACAAGCAAAAAGCTGGGTTCTAGGAGAGCAACTAGTTGTAATGTACTTTATGTTAATTAAACATTTATTATGATTTGATCTTTACTATGATTTCTTCCTTCTGTTTTCCTCCTCAGAAGGCAAATTAGCTCAGCTGAATATTTTCGAATCTTAATTAGAGTGTTTCTGGCACTCTTGGCATTCTATTAGAATTCTGCCAGTCCCGCTTAAAAGACATTATCTCTACTTTGCATTTTCTCACAGCAAATACTTTATATTTACTCTACGATAAAATTACTTGAGCCAGCTTATTGCTTACCTATTTGAATGTATAGCTTTAAACTACTTTATAAACGTTTAAATTTATTTGACTGTTATCGTTTAATTTATATTGCCACGAGTAATGGTTCTTGTCTGTAACACAAGTCGTGTTTTTTAAGTTAAAAATTTAAGATTAACTAAAAAGTTTTATTTAAAACATTTGCTGTAAAGCTGTCTTCATCATATTATTTCACACATAGCGATAACTCGTTAACCTGTCTAGTAGGGTTGTAAGAAATGTTTCTAGAGGAATTGAAACTTTATATAGTGTATTTTTATAACTTTAATATTGCTACATTGCAACTATATATATATATAAAAACACGAGATCTCTATCTGCTTAAAAGAAGAGATGTTTTCGTGAAGCACGTTTTGAGGAAACTGCTATTCATAGATTTATATACTGCGACCAAAGTAAATATACGAACAAATTACTTTTCTGGTAATCAGCAAGGGAGCCAAAGCAGACACCGGGAAGCAAGATTTTTACAATTTAGGAAGGAATCAGGCGACAGAATTTTGGAGTCGCAGAGTTTGCATAGGGTGGCAAAAAGTCTAGCGTCGGTCCTGGTAATCAGGAAATACAACCCTTCAAACAAAAGCTCCATATAGAAAGTGAAAGGAAAGCAATTTATTCAGTTTTTATCGACTAAATAAAGAAAACATTTCCCCCTAACATTATTTGGTTGAGTTTTAAAATATAATTTAACTATGAATATGATTTAACTATGTTCGTTATATAGTTAAATTATCACCAGTTCCAGTTTCAAAAGAACAGTTGTGACTAAAACGCAGTTAAAGCTGTCTTAGGCTCTACTGTTAATCACAGTTTCCACACATCATGATATTTAAGAAACTCATTTACGTGTTTGAAAAATATATGTCACAAAAAATTGTAAACCGAAAAATTTAGATTGCGGTTTAACTCCTATGAGATAATTTTACCATTAATTTGTTTAATAAAAAAAGCTAAAATAAAGACCAGACTTAAATTCTTAAAGATGGTAGTTATCTACTTTGCTTATTGTGGGAGATCTAACCTTCTATAGAGTTAGTGCGGTCTTACTAGGAAACCTGGCGACTTCTCTCACATGTATTTGAATAATACCAGCACAGAAGAAGGGTAGAACTAACCTTTTATTAATCGTCAACTCTTAACAAAAATGCACGTACTTTGCGCTCACAGTAACACAGACTACCAGCGGGGGGAATTTAAGAATAATTTAACAATAAATTTAAATGGTAAAGAGTAGTGCTAGACTACTTTAGACTAATAGACCGACCGACTCAGGAACCTACACCCGAGATAAACTAAACGGCCAGAAGGCGTATCAGCAACTCAGAGTAACAGCAGAAAGGACAGAATAGCAACGTGCTCTAGCTGGTGAAACCACGCGCTGGCTTTCTCTTTTCACCCATGTATGTACTCTTTTTCCCTTTAACTTAATTTGCATCTTGGCGAGGAAATTCAAGGTGAAGTTGAGGAGTTCAGAAAAGGTAACAAAAATTAGAATAATTGGTTATTCAAACTAAGAGAAACCTACAATTGAATCGCTTGTCCACAAAGTTTGAAACGTATACTTCTAGCAAATGAAGTGAAAACAATTCCTATTTGTCAGAACGTGAAATTTTCATAGCTAAATTAATAACTATGAGGTATTAAAAACTTCGATCTATAAACTTCAGACTTTCTCAAAATTAAATAATGAAAATACTTTTAAATACTTGAAAAATATAAAAAAATTTAAAAACGTGGTATTTATTTCTTTGGTACCCAGATACTAGTTGACACTTGAAGCAGCTTTGTGCTAAACAGGCTGGGCCTATAAGTGTGAGAATAAGACTCCATAAATCCAAAATATAATACATAAAACCATTTAACAGAAACAAGTGTTCAAAATAATATTTCCAAACGTCATATAACGAAGCTTGCTCTGAAGTTATTTAAAAAAATTATTGAAGACATAGCCATGCTTTCACTTTTTGTTGAACAGTTTGCACTTAAAGTTTGCCAATAAGTCCAGTATTTACTTGCGTATTTTGCCCCTTTTTATACTAATTTTATCGCTCGGAAATTATGCAAGCAATTTAATTTCAAGAGGGGCCCACCAGCGGCCGAGCGGTAAAGTCGCTGAACACTAGTAGTTCGGTCCGAGGTTCGAATCCCGCGAACGGGCTGGCTGCATGGGCGTTTCGTGGTTTCCCCATGTGTAACGTGTATACGAGCCAGTTTTCTTAGAAGTCCTCCACGAAGGCATCCTCCCCTTAGACAGATAGCCCTCGAGGCTTTGCCATAATCACACACACACACACATATTAATTTCCAGAGGATACGTTTATAATAAAAGCATTACAACTGTACATTATTCACGGATTAAACTACCGGTAACTATCACAAGTATTACTTACTTAAAAGAAACCTCCATTCAAATAACAATAAACAGTAATATTATTATTAGAGTATCTAATAAGATATCTTTGTTTCATTTATCCTTTATCTTGAATCTTGACCGCTTTTATTATTGTCTGCTGCTACTCTTTAGGCCC